ATTTTTTCTCATTGTCAGGTTATAAATCTACACACCAACAAGGTATCTCGTATCCTGGGGAAGGTGGAGAGCAATGATAGATTTTTGAGAATTGCTTTGTATCAAGGTGATAGAAGTAGTAAAAAAGTAAGAAAAATCCCTGCTGCGGCAGCAAATGCAAATGAAAGCAAGGAGCCCTTGATAGATCCCACTCTACTTTGCTGTGCTTTCAAGAAACATAGAATCTATTTGTTCAGGTATCGTATATGCTATATAGTACAGAGAATGAAAAGAAGGCTATCTTGAACTTTGTTGCTTTTCAATCCATTGGTCAATGATGAACTTGGACCTTCTCCACTGCACTGACCTGTTCAGTCTAGAGCTTAGTGGTATGGTAAAGGAAACATGGTGACAGCTTTATCTAAACTAGTCAAACTAGGATGTGTGTATGATGAAAAATGAATTGTTCTGATAGATGCTTAAATATCGATTTTTCTACTAGAATTAAGCTTTAAAGTTGTATGATAACTATCTTGAGCCGTGAAAAAGTTGGAAAGTTCAGTTAGCTGCTGCGCTCTTCGAAATTGGGTGATTTAAATTGATGTTCCATACTTCTATGAAGTATCAGCCCTCACCCTCTTGTTATCTCTTCTGTTGAGTAAAACCACATTTTCTTGTTTAAATTTCAAATTTATGCTTATTAACAGCTCATATTTTATTCTATAACAGTCAGAGAGAACCTGAGGAACCTGATGATCCTACCAAGGGAAGAGATGTCTTCAATGAAAAGCCACCTCCTGATGAACTTTTGGCTGTATCTGACATTGGGAAGTCCGTTACTACATCCCTTCCAGATAATGTGGTAAGTTGTGGTTTTACTTGGCATATATCAAATAAATAGAAAATTTCAGATAGGTTCCGCTTTGGATTAGCTTAAAGAGAATAGTACGAATTTACTACACTCATACTAAGTTCATTTGATTAAAAATTGAAAATTTTGTCTCCCACTTGGATCATAAGAACCAAAACATATGTACTTTGTCAAACACATTTTCGTTTTGATTATGCTCCTCTCTTTGCCTCTTTTAGGCAAAAGATTTTTTGTCAACAAAATAAGTGTTTTTAAAATCGTTAATAATTTAGAAAGAAAATTAATATTTTACGTCAAATTTAGAAGTATTTTTAATAGAGAATTAATCAAAGACATATAGATGTAGGAGAAAGAATGGAGTCCCTACTCCTTATAATTAAAGCTAATTTCGTGGACTTATTTTTATCAAAAAAGTCTATAACTTGTCAGTGATGTGACTAAAGAATAAGGACAATGAAGTACTCCCTCCGTCCCTTTTTAGTTGTCCACTTTAGAAATGGCACACAGATTAAGGCAACAATGATTAGCACAGTGAAGTTACAATTTTACCCTTATGACAACTTTTCATTTCAAAATTACAACCACTTCTTTGAATTCAAGTGAAATAAATTGGAGGGAAATAAGGGTATAATAGGAAAAAATTTGTTGTCTTTTCTTGATTTGTCAAAATGGACAAGTAAATAGGGACATCTAAAAAAGGAAATATGGACAAGTAAAAAGGGACGGAGGGAGTAGCTTTTAAGTCAAATAAAAAGTCAAAAAATAAAAAGTAAGGGGAGGCCTACTTTTGGTTTTTAACTTATTTTTAACCTTGCCAAACACTTCGTAACTTATTTTAAGTCATTTTTTGACTTATTTTAAGTTATTTTTATATTTGCCTAACACTTCCAGAAGTCAAAAACTGTCTTAAAAGTAGGTTTGACCAACTTTTAAGCCAATCCAAACACACTCTTGAACTGGATATCCTTGTCCATGAGTTTGTGGGAGCGGAACTGTATGTGAGCGACAATGATTGGTATCGACTGGGGAAAGGTTTTAAGTAAAGATTAAATTTTGTGTTCCGTATAAACCAAGTCAGTGAATCCTGAATAAAGGACTTACCTTCTTCTACTTCTGTTTTCTGATTCCTGATCAATTAATGAATGAGATAACAGGATAGCATGCTATAAAACCGCTACCTTGAGAATGGTCTTCATAAGCTGGAACGAGATGGGCAAACCTATTTTGCGCTCTTAGGCAACCTTTCTTAACTGAAGAATGACAGTTTTTTTCTGCATTATTGTGGTATTCATAAAAGATTATAGTTCTTCCTATGTTGCTCGGACTCTACAAAAATGTTGCCACACCCGTGACAGATCCTCCAAAAATCCACTACTTTTGGAGGATCCAACATGCACCTGGTAGGATTTTTTAAGAGTCCGAGCAACGTATGTTCTTCCATTAACACTTTGCGTAGAGCGGTAGAGGCCCTTCCTTTTTATGTATTTGTACTAATCCTGAGAAATGGACAGAAATTTGCTGATTCATTTCTTTCTTTTGCTCTGACCTAGATCATGCATACCAGTATGGGTGACATTCATATGAAGCTATACCCTGAAGAGTGTCCAAAAACAGTGGAGAACTTTACAACACACTGCAGGAATGGATACTATGATAATTTGATATTTCATCGGGTCATCAGAGGCTTTATGGTTCAGACAGGAGATCCATTAGGAGATGGCACGGGTGGCCAATCTATTTGGGGAAGGGAGTTTGAAGATGAGTTCCATAAAAGGTATGTTAATGTATTGTTTTGCATATATGCATAAAAGCATAATTGTACATGCTTAACTTATTTCCTCTACTCCCTCCTTCCTAGATATGTGTCATGTGAAGGGCCGTTGTTTTACTGATGCTGCTTATGTAGCTTTTTGGAATAATGAACATGATGGTAGGCTGTGGGAACCGGAAGTCTAGGCTCATAATAAAAGATTGTTCCATTTGAGTGTAAAATGTGTTTTAGATTTAATTGACCTCTTTTTTCTTTGAACATCAGCCCATTTTTACGTGTCTGCAGCAGTAAAAGTGAATAAACAACCCCAGTCAAATGGTAAGACAAATTAAGTATTCAATCCATGGAGTAAATGGATCCATAGTAATAGTACAATGTAATTTTTTATCCGTGTTCTTAAGGTTGCTGCAGCTTTTGCAGCACCTAATATGCAATAGAAGATTGCCAATGCATAGTTTAGAAATAAGAGTTAACGACTGGCCAAAAATGAAATCTCTTTTGCTTGCCTTCCTTTACTCGTCTTTAATATGCTGATGACCATGATTTTGTCAGTGTTTGAATTTTTAAATTCAGTTGCAAATTATAATATTGTTAATTCTTCCTGGCAACAGCTGTGTAGCTTTCATGAATTTAACTAGATGACCCAACGATTTCCTCCCTACCAATGAAAAGGATCTTTTGCAGTTCTATGCTTTTGATATTAACATACAATTCTAATGCTTATGATTATGAAAGTGACTGATTGAATCTAATCAGAAGCTTGTGCTCCATTCATGGAGCCACAAGTACACTTCTGGAGCACATCATAATATTTAGCATGTGCTGTAGTCTTCTTCCTTGCTTGACTCTGGAGATTCATTTTGCTTGCTTTGTAGACTCCGAGAAGATTTTTCTAGGGTCTAGGGAGTGGATAGCTTAGTCATTGCGTGAAATAACAGCTGACACAGCCTCATGACATCTAATTTTAACTTGATTTTCTCCCTATAGCTGATAGACACGTTTTCTAGTTTATGGTCTGAGTAAAGTTCATCTAAACGATTATATTGGTCTGTGCAGTCTGCGACATGATAGACCCTTCACTTTCTCTATGGCTAATGCTGGGCCAAACACCAATGGCTCTCAATTCTTCATAACAACTGTTGCCACTCCATGGTTGGACAATAAGCACACAGTTTTTGGCAGAGTGGTGAAAGGAATGGATGTTGTACAGGTATTAACTTATAAAGTTTCCCCCTCCTGTCTCTGCTATGGATTGATTACTGAATGAATAGACCACTCAGAGCTTTGTCCTGTTCAGCAGAATATCTAGTTATTTTATTTTACCAGAAAGGAAGAAAGTTGGTGAATATGCTGTTGTTCAAATCGAAATGATAATTGCTGCAGTATCTTTCATGTGATATTTAATGTATGGTTACTTCTTGGGACCTAATTAACAATTCCTTTTCTTTTGGATTATGACAGTCCTTAGAGAAAGTGAAGACAGACAAAGGTGACAAGCCATACCAGGATGTAAAAATATTGAATGTGACTGTTCCAAAGTCTTAAACGGGTTCTTGTTGTGACTATGCTCCATTATTGAATGATTTGCATCTACTTATTCCGGAGAATTGGAAGGATTACTACGACTTATTTTGGAAAGTATTGCAATCCTCGTTGGACCCTGATCTGATCTCAAAACCCACTATACAACATAGTGCCTCAGTTTTCAGAAACATTTTGTGCCTCGGGGAAATAGAACTCGACTCTCCACTCAAGTTGAAAGGATATTAGCGACTGGGAGTTGTTGGTTAGTCTGGTATTAGCTCATTGTCAGGGAGTGTACAATTAGTGTTTTCCACTCCAGATTCATTAGTGGGACAGAGCGGAACTAGCTTATTATCAATGTTCTTGTTGTGGTTGTGGACAGTAATTTATGGAGTTTGAGACCTAGTGTTGCATTGCCATACCAATAAAGATAGCATCAATTGTAATGTACTGTTTTCGCATAGTCTCGTCTAAAACTACAATTGTAGATCTTTTTGACTACTTTTCAAGTCCTAGTTTTATATATTTGAATTGTAGCTGCAATGTTTAAAATTTCTCTTTCCTTAATTATTGTACAAGATCCTACTATGTATTCAAATTATCCCTTCTGTCTGTTTTTGTAAGTTTTCACTGTGTACATAACTTTTTGTGATCACAAGCTTTTCGAAAATGACTTATCTACTCAAGGTAGGGGTAAGACCCAGCTTATGGATCATTACAGGTTACACAGGTATTCTGTTAGTTGTAGATGACTTTTTCCAATTGGAATAGATTTCCAAGTTAATAGCGGATCATTACTGTAAGCGTTGAAACTGCCCAAGTCATATTATAAATTGAGAATTGCAGGTTTTGATGAGTTGAAACTGGCAACAAATACATCAACAAAAAAGAAGCAAATCAAATCCAACAATACTAGTAATTTCCAATTTACTCAAGATGTTTACCAAGCAAATTATAGGTTCATTAACTAAACTAGAAGCGAAATCAGTAAATTGACAAAAAGATTCCCAGAATAAACTCAAAGGGAACAGGGCCTTCCATACAGAAACCAGTAAAACATTCCTCTAATCGAAGAGACTGAAGCCCATGTCCTGCAATATTGAAAACCAGACAACCATGTTAGTAAAAACACAAGAAACATTATCCACAGCAGAAAAAAGCCAAGGCCTCCGAAATTAAACGGAGAATCTTACGTCATCAGATTCCTCTTTCTCTTCCACCTTCTTTTCCACTTTCTTCTCCTCAGCAGCTGGTGCTGCAGCACCACCACCACCACCACCACCAGATACAGCTACTGCAACTCCACCACCACCACCAGCAGGTACTGAAGCCAACTTCTCCCTGCCAGCAGCAATCAGCTCAGTGATGTCCTTGCCCTTGACTTGGGACAAGAGGAGTTCAATCCTATCATCATCAGCTTCAGCTCCAACTGCAGCACACATTAAAAAAAGTTGAGAATGCAAAACTAAATAAAGTATACAGTAGTATACAAAATAAAGTGGCATTGATCATGATGCTTATTATCCATGAAATACAAACCAACGACAGGGTTATCCTATTCTATGTAAGGAAAGTAAGCATAATAGAGTAATCCAGTCTCACATGGATACATTAGGAAGGTATTATATGACATAGTCCATCAGAAACGGCCTATCTACCCTCCCAAGGTAAGATTGTGTACACACCACTCTCCCGAATTCTACAGGATGTGTTGTTAATATTGTTGTTGATTCTCCAATTCTTAAACAGAGAACATAACAAAAAATTAACAGTACATCAAATATAGAAAAGCCAGGTCTCTCAGTATCAAACAAACTAAATCTACTCTAAAGTTTAACAGATAGGTGCTTCATAGCTGTTTAGCAATAACTTAATAAAATGTCATGTCTCTTCAATCCCCCCCCCCCCCAAAAAAAC